GATAATTCCCCAAGTCAAAAATTTAGTCACTATGTTGGCAACACAAGCCTTTTCTACATAAAAAAAAATTGAAAGCATTGACAATTTTACATTGTATTGCCAAATAAATGGGGCATTCTATTCAAGATAACAAAAAGACTACGTGTAGCGCAAAACTAAAAAGTCTGGCAACAATGCCCATATCATGGTTGAATTTTGCATGCCCAAAAACCCCCAAATTTCCATATTCGAGCGTTGCTGTTGCTATACTTTTCACTGAAACTACGGTGTTGTCATATTTCAGCAACTAGTAGAGATAGAATTCTGAAATTTTGGAATCTTATCAAATTTGGCACGCCCAATTCATTGCAATTAAAATAAATGGGGCATTCTATTTAAGATAACAAAAAGACTACGTGTAGCGCAAAACTGGAAAATCTGGCAACATTGCCAATAGCACTGTTGAATTCCGCATGCCTGAAAACTGTCAGGTTCCGAATTGTGTGAACGCGGCTTGAGCAGTTTTGAAGATATTTAAGTGTTGCAGTACTTTTTTACTAACCCTGTATACAATACAATACACTTAAGCCTGGTTTATACAGGAAATAATAGTTATTTATACACCAAGTGAGTTAAATGAATAAACATTTTAACGCACGTGATGTATACAAAATTTTATCCCATTTTGATGGACATTTAAATTAATAGGAATCAAATTATAAAAAGAATTCATTAAGCAGCATATGAAAACGTCTAAATATTGAAATTGGTGGTTGCTAGGGTATAACTAGTTGTTTGTTTGTATTTGCAGCAGATTCTATACTGGTAGAGTGACTTAAAAGACCGAGAGTGAGTTAAATAGTTATTTATGATATAAGTGTTAAAAGTACATTTTTAAGGCACGCATGTGAAAGTTTGCAGAATGAGCGAAGCGAATTCTGCAATTCACATAAGTGCCTTAAAAATACTTTTAACACAAATATCATACAATATTTTTTCTACAAACGGCAATAAAAAGCAATAACCACTAACAAATTGGATTTTTAAATGAATAATAAATTGGAAGCATCTTTCCTACATAAAATTCTTGAATTTGACATTTGTCAAAAAATCCATACAACCAGCACCTTGTTTTACAGGTAACGAAATGTCTTGTCAGTTTCTTGAAAGTATGTCGTGGTCAGGAATGCTTTTTGCTAAAAATGCAACAAAATACAGAAGAAAAAGAGAGGTGCATCGATCCTTCGAAAAATATAGATGAGGCGGCCAATCGGGCTACCTCAGTTGTTCAAATTTCACCATTATTATCAATGTAAATAACTGAAAATACAAACTTTTTTTGACGTCCGCTCTCAAAATTTGATGTTTCACTTTTAACACTAGTGCTATAAAGACTTTATGGCACTAGTGCGATAAAGTAACATTTTTAATGCTTCGGGGTGGTGTTAAAAATTGCATTTTTAACACGTTTGTAGAAAAAATATTTTTTCTACAAACGTGTTAAAAATGCAACTTTTAACACCCCCTCGAAGCATTAAAAATGTTACTTTATCGCACTAGTGTTAAAAGTCTTTAATGCACTAGTGTTAAAAATGAAACATCAAAATTTGAAAGCAAACGTCAAAAAAAGTTTGTATTTTTAATTTTTTACATTAATTTTAATGGTAAAATTTGAACAACTGAGGAAGCTCCGTCGGCCGCCTCCTCTATATTTTTCAAGGGATTGATGCAACCCTCTTTTTCTTGTGTATTTTGTTGCATTTTTAGCAAAAAGCCTACTGACCACGATAGACCATACGACAGACTTTTAAGAAACTGACGAGACATTTCATTACCTGTAAAACAAGGTGCTGGTTGTTTGAATTTTTTGACAAATATCAAATTCATTAATTTTACGTAGGAAAGATGCTTCCAATTTATTATTCATTTGAAAATCCAATTTGTCACTGGTTATTGCTTGTTATTGCCGTTTGTAGAAAAAATATTGTATGATATTTGTGTTAAAAGTATTTTTAAGGCACTTATGTGAATTGCAGAATTCGCTTCGCTCATTCTGCAAACTTTCACATGCGTGCCTTAAAAATGTACTTTTAACACTTATATCATAAATAACTATTAAATCGCTGAGGTGATAAACGTCTACTTACCTTTGTTATTATGCGTTCAATAATGTCATTTTTAAACGTCAAAATTGGATAAAATAAATTAAAATAAGAAATAACATAGGAAATAAGAAGAATAAGAGATAAAGCGTTTATACAGAAAAATATAAAATAAAATTAGAATTATTTTGAACCAATCACAGCACACCTGAACTGTCATAGGTCTAATCTAATTGACGTCGTGACATGCGCAAATAGTATTTTCACATAAAATAAAATGAAAAGTAAAAAGTTAACCAACTTTTTATTTTTGCTTATTTTTTTATCTTATTTTATTTTTGAGTATAAATGCCCCTGTGTCTTCCCATAAGGCAATCTTTTAATTTTATTTTATTTTTTATTTTATGTAACTTTATTTGCTGTATAAAACCAGCTATAAATACAATATACTCTATGTATATTTATATGCAGAAATGTTTTATTTATTCTAATAGAAAATTCTGTCTATAGTCCGACAAATACCATTTTAAAGTCACGTGATACTGGTGGCAGAAAACGTATGTCCATTGATTATGTCGTTGATATCACCTACAAAAAGCTACTGGTGGATAATTACTATTGAATTTTAATATGTTCCCACTAGCATTTTACAAACGCGTTTCTGAAGTAGTATAAACTGAGTACCCGTTTTCTATTTGCTTCTTTTCGAGTTGGAAAAAGTTTAATATAGTCAAAATTATTAGCTGTGTTTGTTCGTTGTATTACTTTCGAAAATAACTTTGACAAACTATTTTAAACAGCAATTTTTTTGTCAATTTTACTATCACCGCTGTTTGAGATGTATTCAACAAGGATAGAGAAAAATCACGTGACTTTAAAAAGGTATTTGTTGGACTATACCTATAGTGAAATTATTTAAACAGTGTATGCACGTGATCAATGACGTCAAAATTATTGCCAATTGCAGTTTGTAAGAAATTAAAATTCGTTTCAAGCTGAGAGCTCATTCTCCTTTTTATTTAACCTTAGTTAAAAAAAGACAGAACACTGTTGGCATTTAACCGAATCGGCCGATAAAATGACATTCAGTTTGGCACTCATGGGTTATGTTGCCAAATATTGCTGCAAATCTGCAGTTACTGATTTTAATAATTTGAAATTATTTCTATTTGTGTATCTATAAAATGCCAAAGTCATTGAATAGTCAGAGTCAGAAGCTCGTTGTGTCTCTTATTAGTTTCTTTGAACAGGAACGAGATAATGGGGGCCCCTTTTTGCCATTAAATAGCGTTAGAGAGGTGAAGTATATTGATACTATCAAAGTGAGTAGTTTTTTTAGATTGTGTTCATAATACACTATCTATACATATAAAAATCGATGTTTGTTTGCTTTAGTGATAACAAATTTTACTAGACATGGTATGTCAAAGTAAAACGAAAGTTAATAGCGGCAACATTGCGACGTGCTTATGTCATTAATTTTGATCACGTGCATACACTGTTTAATTAATTTTACTATATACAAAAGTACATCCGTGTTTTCTCTATTCCAGACTCTTCAATTTTCTTTATTTCTGGTAATTCAAGAGCCGGGAATAGACAAAAATTGAGCGCGAACAATAGAGAAATAAAGAAAAGAAATTCAGAAAAAAATTGGTACACAGAATTTTCTTCTATTTAGAGGACGTTACAAGAGCAGGAAAATTCAAAATCCGAGAATAGATAAAAATTAAAACGGAAAAATTTGAAAAAAAAAGAGAGAAAAAGCCTGGAATAAAAAATAAATGAAATTTTATCCTAAAATTTGAAATAAAGAAAACATATTAAAAACGGAAAGTTGATTAATAAAATTTCCTCAATTAATTCCAGTTGCACAATTTGCTTCACTACAAGATCCTGTATTATTTTTCAAAGCAATTGGCAGAGTGGAATTTGAAAGGAAAATTGTTAAATTCGATATTTCCTTAAAGCAAAATCGTGAAGAGTGAGAGGATTTTTTGCTGCAACGATTGAGACATACACATAGGTACAATAAAGTCATTAAATAAAAAATATTAATTAATGGAAAAAAGCAGACGATAATATTTGCAATATTATGTTTAATAAAATATGTGCAACGATTTACATACATTTTTTGCATGCTAAAACGTTCAGCTCTAATTGACGTCTTAATTTAGAACATATGGAATATACCCATACTAATTTTGTTTTAATTTCATAATACAAATTGTTTATTTTATGGAAATATTATTGTATGGTTTAATTAAGATTTAATTGATGGCAACTTTGAATCATATCAAAGGCTTATGTAAATCTAGAATTTAGATGTTGAGTTCATTTTGAAACTCTTTAAAGGGTTTTTGAGAAAAATGTTGTGCAAAATTCTCAGTTGTTGAAGTCTTTTTCAAATAATTAAGCAACATTTTTTTCTAATTATAAATTACATATATATTTTGTTTAAATAATAGCGTCATAATTATTGCTATCGTGAGAACGTTCAGCCTTCGTCAGTAGGCTATCAAGATTTCATTGCCCATTATGCACTTCGGCTTCATAAGTTTCACATAGATTGCATATTGTGTGTTAAATGCATTTAATTAACATTTAGATTTATCTGAATCTTTGAAGGGCGGTCATTAGACCCGATAATTTATGTTTTATAAACAATAAAACATGCGTTTTTGTTTATTAAATATAGCATTTTTGGTAATCAATTGCCTAAGAATGTAACAATAATTATTTGGGTTGAATTATAGATTTCTTTGTTAAATAATTATTATCGTAGATCAAAGCAAAAGCCAGTCACATAACAATTTAATACCTACTCTATAATTACTGGAGACTGACACAAGATATGCACAACATCAGGTCTAAATATTTGCTATATACCTACTATTAAACTATATCTTGCTAAATCCGATTTTTCTGAAACGATTTCATGCACCAATTCCTGCGGAAAATAAAAATCATCTGTACCTTATATGCTGGGAGCAGATTTTTTACCTGTCTAAAATGATACTGCATAAGTACCTACCTATGTAACGCAATAACGCTTCCTGGCTAAAATAGTCTTTTTTTTTACTTTGATTTGCTTAATTGACTTAGGTACTTATTACCAATATCTAATTTATTGATTTTCATTATATTGCTCACAACATTTTTCTCAAGATTTAAAATAGTAGGTACTTTATCAGGATTTCAAGGCAATAATCTCATCAATCCATTTTCATTAGAGAAGATTTTTTATACAAATAAGTAGTACCAGGAAATTACATTGCATCTGAATATTACGATTATTCGTGATTCGCAATCGCTTATCCAAACAAACATTTTCCGTAGGTAATTAAATATCCTATATGCGATTGCACCAATAAGTCGGTACCACCAAGTATACGCGTATATAGAAAGCACCTATTGCTATAAAGTTTTTGCATGCGAGGTACCCCGTAATTTAGGCGTATCGTATATAAACCGCCTCCTCGGTACCACAAGGCAACAGTCGCACTAGTTCTTTTTAGTAAAATGATTCTTCAAGTAAGTGTGTGATTCGTTTATTGATTTTTATTAATCCAAATTTTCTTCTATAGTACTTCCCTTTTGTGTTCTGTGCCTTCTTAGTCCTAGCTTCGGCTGAGGAGAAGAAAGCAGAAGAACCAAAATCCGTCGAGGAGAAAAAACACAACAAGAGAGGCCTTTTTGATCTTGGATACGGCGGAGGCGAATATGGAGGTAAAACTAACCCAAAAAAATAAATAAAAATAAATTCTTCACAAAATAATTTAGGTGGTCATGGCTTGGAACTTGGAGGATACGGAGGCGGTTTGGAACTCGGCGGTTTGGAAGACCACCACGTCAAACACGTAACCCACATCAAAACTGTAGGAATTCCAGTACCCAAACCCTATCCCGTGCACATCGAAAAGAAAGTACCTGTTCCATACCCTGTTAAAGTACCAATTCATATACCCAAACCTTATCCAGTCCCTGTACCAAAACCTTATCCAGTCCACATTGAAAAACCTGTACCTTACCCAGTTATAAAACATGTACCTGTTCCAGTTAAAGTACCAGTCAAGGTAATTTAGTAATAGATTTGTAATTTATGGTATTAATAATTGTTTCTTAGGTTCCATACCCAGTCCCTCAACCCTACCCAGTAATCAAAAGTGTACCATACCCTGTACACAAACCAGTACCATACCCAGTCAAAGTACCAGTTCTAGTTGAAAAGAAGGTTCCAATTTACATCAAAGAACATCACGAAGAGTTGGGAGGCTACGGAGGTGGTTACGGAGGCGGATACGGAGGTGGTTTGGAGCTCGACGGAGGACACGGTCATTTATTATAAAAACGGCGACTGTTGAACAAAAAATGATATTCTCATCAGTATTTTTTCACCATCATCATTTTCTTTGTAAATTTCTTCCTCATTTAATTTATGTTGTGTTTTTTGTTTATCTTTTTTAATAAAACATATTTTCCTAAAAAACATTTTTAGTAACTTTATTGATCAGTAGCGACCAATGAGTGAAGAACAAATTAATTTATTCCAGGCTCTTTATTTTCCGAATTGTTCGTATAAGTGCAAATGAGCTGAACTGATGTAGAAAAATAGATTGAATAATGACTATTTTTCAGGTTAGTATAGTAAAAAAAAAACTTAATATGGCGATAGTAAAACATAAACAAAAATAACTTGAATAAAAACAAACATTTTATGCCTATTATACTAATTCTGAGTTAATTTAAATCCTCTCAGAAACAGTCTTTTTAAATCTCAAACTCGCTCTCGATTTTCTCCACCATCATTTTAGCAATAGCCAAAGAACTAGTTGCTCCAGGACTCGGCGCATTCCTGCAATGCAAAACCCGACTACCAATCGAATCGTCTCCATCTTTGTACATATCAAACACGAAATCTTCAATAAGATTTCCGGAAATATCCAGAGCTTGTGCTCTGACACCTGCAGGTCCTCGTTCTACATCTTTAGCAGAGATCTCCGGTACGAATTTTTGCAAACTTTTCACTTGGAGGGACGGTATTGCCGATTTGATTACTTCCTGAGCACCGGCGAACATGAATTTGAGTGCTAATTTTATAAAGCCTGGATAGGAAATTGAGTCTGCTAGTTCTGAGATGTTTATGTCGGCCCAACTGGAAAAAAAATGTATGTTGGTGGGTTTATTTTTCGATTCAGAAAAATGGAGCATGAACCCATAAATTAGGACCAGGAAGACATTAAAAGCAAGGCTAAAGTAAACCAAACGTAGGTAATTATCGACTGCTACAGCATAAATCCCAACTTCAATAGCAACTTTTTTAGTTATCCTCATTTCCCCAGTAGAATGGAGATAGGTAATTAAGAAATTCTGATTTTAAAGGTTTGAGCCCAAAATTTGACAAATATTATCTGTGAAAATCTAAATAAAGGTAATACAAAAACATCTTACGTGTATCCTTCTCGTTTGAAAGCCAGTACAGCATTGGGTCCAAGCCAAACACTACCATCCATCCTAGGAGTAAAATGAACTCCCAAAAACGGAAATCTTGGATCGGGCACTGGATAAATATTGCCCCTAATCATGTGCGCCTTTTCCGGATTGAGCAATAAATATTCGCCTCTAAACGGTACGATTCTAGGACTCCTAGGACAACCGGACAATTCTGCCAGTTTGTCCGATTGCAGTCCGCCACAGGTCAATACGTATTTGCTTTTCACGTTTTGTCCATCTTTGGATTGTATCAGGACTGGGTATTTTGGGTCTTGGGATTTTTCAAATTTGTTTACTTCAAAATTTAAATAAACTTCTCCTCCTTTTTCTTTAAAATCAATACCATACTGTTGAGTTACAATGCTGTAATCTATAATTCCTGTATGTGGTGACCACAATGCTTGCAGTCCTACACAATGAGGCTCGATTTTTTTTATTTCTTCCACACCTTTTATCAGTTTAATGTCGGGGACTTTGTTTTCAATTGCTCTTTGATGCAATTCTTCTAATCTTTTCACCTCAACTTCGTCAGTAGCCACAATTAACTTTCCGACTTTTTTATAAGGGATTTTCTTTTCGTCACAATATTTGTACATCAATTGCATGCCTTCGACGCAAAGTTTGGCTTTCAAGGACCCTAAACAAAAATTTATATAGAATTTTCTAATATTAGATTAGGAAATTTTTCGTGTGGCTCGATTTAGGATAGTATATTATTTAATAGTGGAGATACGGCTAAATTTTTTTTTTTGGGTCTGGTAACTTACAGGTCCCAATATAGAGACGTAAATTTTTTTTGTTTTTTGAAAAAGATTCCTTCAAATAAACACATGTAAGCTATAAATAAATGCGGAAAATGCACATTTTCCATCGGAAAATTATATTCAAAATTAACGATTTGGCCCACCTTTCAAAAATAAACTACGAAAATTCCCCACTATGGGTCGCTATCAGCGCGCTTTGTTGTCAACCAGTATTAAATGAACTGTAACAAAAATTATATGCAAACTAACCCAAATTAACCCGTCCACGTAATGCGTGCTAGTCCTTGTATGTTAATGTAATATTCCGAGAAAATAGACCCATAAATCACAATGTCTTTACTGTAAAAATTTAATAAATGTCAAATAATCAAAAACAGAATTTTCAGTATTTCGTCATCGAGCCTGTGTCATCTCCTAAATCAATGAACTTAAAAGAGCGAGGCCAAATAATTATAAATGATTTATGGCATTCTTGAACCAAAAAAAAAAAAAGAGCCATATTGACCTCGATAAATTAGGATATTGCGACATAATTATTCGATTCTTTTAAACTAAGAATGATAAAAATTTCAAGGAAATTGCATCATTATTTTTAATAATATTTAGGTCGGCCAATGGAATTCGGATTGCTAGGCAAACGACCGCCTATTGACGATTTTGGGGATAATTAATAATACTTTACGGGGGGGATCGATTTAATATAAATACCGCGGTTTTAGAAGGGGAAAAAAAAGTTGTTAGTTGTCAGTTGAGAGATGAGTTCGCGGTCCTATCCAGTTTGAGTTAAAATCTACAATACGTAAAGTGTCAGTCCGGAACGTTTTTTGTATTGCCTCGGTAACAGTCTTTGAAAAAGTAGCGAAAAAATTTTAGAAGAAAGAACAATTAAATTCGTCAACATTTATGTGCGTGCTAGCTGAAAATTTTCAGTAATTAATTAAGTAATTTTACGTGTGCAAAGTAAAATGTAAGTACTCTAGTGTTTAATAATTTTCTGACTTTTATCAATGATTTTGAATAATAAGAAGTGAATTAACAATGACTTTTAATGCCAAAAAGTTGAGTGATTTTTACTAGAAAAACTATTGACTTTATAATTAACTGTGGAATTTTATTGCATAAATATCAATAACTCGAGTGTTTTGAAAATGGAACATTATTGCATAACTTTAATTGCCTTCAGATACCTTATTTAATTTTGCACCAAAAATATTAAGGGAATTTATAATGCACTTAACAGTTGGGTTTATTAGCTAGGCATAGGAATCCGAAAATAGAATTTGTTCTGATCTGATAAACTATTAATTGCAATAGGAAATTTTGAAAAGAAACTTGATGTTCATGAAATAGAATTGTCTTAAAATATTGGAAAATTGTTGTTCATGAAATGAATTTTGAATTAGGATTTTATTTTTCAAGTAGAAATTATTGTAAGGTTTTATAAGAATAATATATTGATAAACAAATAGGTAATTATTTTGGGTATTCATAAGCAGTCAGTAAAAGACTTAGAAATTTTAAAGAATTTAGAGAAATAGGTGAAGGATAGTTAATAGGAATGAATCGGAAGTGTTGAAATGAGTTAACTTATAAGTTATTAGGAATAGGGCGTTTCTTATTTAGTAGGGATATTTCAGTGGTCCGTAATAATAACAATTTTAGAATGAATGTGAAGTAATTGAATTTATAGAAATAGATGAGGCTGTCAGAATTGAAAGATATTTTGCTGATTTAAAATTTTTGGTTTTATGTATAATAAAATATAATTTCAGTAAACCTCAATAGTTTGTTTCTCTCTCTTGCAAATAGACCCTTCCACAGATTTTAGGTAGTAGCTCCAAGTAAATAAACACCATCAATATACCGCTCGCCATTCACCATCTAACTAATTACATAGAGTACTTGAGGCGTTTTGCTACATTAATATTGAACTTAAAAAACAATCGATCTGTAATGAAACTATTGGTCCTAATCCTTGTATGTTAATATTTAATTTAAAAACACGAATGCGCTTCGCGCACTAAATTTTTGACTTGGGGAAATATCTTTAAAAAAAACAGACTTTATAACTAGTAATAAACGAACGTAACGAAAATAACCAAAAATATGTAAACTAACCCAAACTAACCCGTCCACGTAATACGTACTATTCCTTAGTAAGTACAATCATCTTATACCTACCTGGTTTGTAATAAATTCCAGCGTGTATTACGCCACTATTGTGTCCAGTTTGGTGTTTTGCCAGTTCGTTTTCCTTTTCCAAAATTGCCATTTTGAGTTTGGGATGGCGTAGTTTCAGTTCTCGAGCCGAAGCTGCTCCCACGATTCCGCCTCCGACAACCACAACATCATATTCTCTACATAATTAAGAATATATAAAAGAGTTATGAATTTTTTTATAAAATTTCTATTGATTAATTTTTGGAAGAAATTGGAATTCAATCAAAGCGACTTAAAACTTTTAGGTTTTATTAATCAGAAGGTATTTTTATTACATCAAATAATTTGGGAGTGAATCCTTAAATCACCAATCAATAGGTACCTAGTTTCCAAACAGCATACAAAGTCTTAAAGAGGTCTTTTTTAGGTCTGCATTACGTCTGAATACTAGAAAAAGACGTTAAGAAGACGTTGTTTTGAAGATGTTCATATAAGATGTCTTAAATTCACATCTTAATGAAGACAACTACCTATTTGGTACAATCATGTTTGAAAGTGAATAATGGTTTATGTATTGAAAAGAGATTCATAGACGCCTTCAAGACTTTCGTTGAAAATGTTTTAGTCCTTAAACATTTCCGCAGGCAGACGTCGGGTTTTGTAACATACGACGTCTTCAAGTCTTTAAGACGCCTTGAAGACGTAAGCAAGACGTCTTGAATGTCGTTTGTGGACATCTATAAGATGTCTACAAAAATTGCCCACAGAACTCGTTTCTCATTCAATGTAGAAGTTACTAGAAACCATTTAAGAATGCTACAGAACACTTTGGAACTTTAATAAGCTTTTCGGAAAGTTCAAAACACTTCGAAACAGAATTTCCAAAAGCATTCTGTAGTAGCGCTTCAAAACATTTTGGAAATTTCAGAACCATTTTACAATGCCCAAAAACCTTCAAAAATCAATTTACAAAAATTTCCAAAAGCATTTTAGAACAATTCAGAAGTTTGTAACCCATTTTAGGACGTATCGCTATCAATACCCAATGAATATCGATTCAGAAATCGAGTTATGTGGTTTATGAATTTTGGTTAATAAAACACGCAGAACTCTCTGGGCGCTTCATTTCCACAAGCCACTTATAAACCACTTCATTTATTTCACTGACATCATTTATTATAGAGACAAAATCAAGTATGACGACAGCAACAGATTGTATCTAGCGCCATCTATTTTTCAACTACAGATCAATCATATTTGATCAAAGCGATTCATGGAATTTTTTCCAAATAAACAAAATGATCTCTGATACTGATCCTTATCAAAATTGAATGATTTTTACCTGGTTGTGCTTGTTCCCAATGATCTCTCAATCGATTTGGCACCCTCGCATAAAATCAACTTGGGCTTTCCACTAACAACAAAGAGACCACCAAAAAAACGCGCCAAATAGGACATAATTGCCAATAATTCAAAAAAAAAATCAAAATCAATTTGTAGTTTTTTCATGAATGAATAAATGGCAAAAATATTGAATGAGGACCTTAACAATGTTGCCAACATTTTCATGAATAATTGCAATCCTCATTGTCAAGGTCGCTTCATTGTAGTTTATTTGTTATTGGTTGTCTTAAAATTTCCTAAAGCTCAAAGTAATTTGAATGGTTTGACAACACTGTACATTACAGAATCGCATTGGCCTCCAAATCAAATTCAAGGTTTAAATAAAAGCACTGTCGCCAATATGTGCAAAAGAATCTTATTTTTATTTATTTTCTTCCCTAACAGCCTTATCAATCAACTTTTTGATACTTTTAGCCCGTTTTTTACTCTTTTCAATGCAATCCATTAATTCTTCTTCAGAAAGAGGGCTGCCACCTGGCTTATGAACACAACAAAGTTCATCTCCACTAACTACAATAGTTAAAACACCCGTACACAAATTTTCTTCTTCAATTACTGGATCAGCAAGGATTATTTTACTGAAACAAATTTTCAGGATATTTCAATTATTATTTATATATAAAACACATACTCATCAAATACAGCAAAAGTTGTAGCAACAGGTGTAAAGTGAACCTTTAAAGGCCTCATATTTTCAATATTCACTTGTTTAATATCCAAAGCAGGGTCGTAATCAATTTCTGGCAACTTGACTGATTTTAAACATGAAATAAGAGCAATCATACAAGCGTCAACTAGTGAACCATCATAGTCCAAACAAATCAAATCTGCATACAAAACCCATGCTAGTTTATCAGTAAGTATACATAAGTCCTCTAAATTAATACACCTAAAAACATTAATGCCAAATACTTATTTTATAATTTAATTGTTTTACTTTGAATTTTCAATTATATCAGCTATAAGTTGAGTTAAAGCTTGCGCTTCATGACTGGGAGGGCCCGACTTAAATTTCGACGAACAAAGGGCTGGCAATTCCAAGTTGGGCAGCAGAAATCCTTGTCTGGGTAGGTCGGGTTTGGGTTTGCACAATTCCGCTTTAACGCCGCAAATTACGGTAGTCCGGCCGATTTTAACTACAGCCGATCCGTTTGCAGTTTTAATAGAGTCTACATTTACTATTACAGGCCTGAAATCGGTGAATTCTCTACCGTCCGGTCTGATATCGTGCGAGTAATAGTCTCTGTAGTATTTTAAGGGGTGCAATGATCTAGAAAATTAGTTGAATAAGTGTTTTGGTTTTTGGGGGTTTAACGTGTATACTTACTTGAATTCTTCTGCCATTGTAGATTAATTAGTAGTTCAAATTAATTATAAAAAGAAAATATCTAACAAATCAGCAAGGCATGTGTTTATATTTACAAAATCATAACCTCAAAAAAGTGAAGATCATTTTGGCAACATTGTAAATGCCAGAAAAATTTTCTTCTTTTTCTTGTTTGGTGTGCTAATGCCCAGATGTTTTTTTGTGAGGTTATGATTTCACATTTCCTAGGTGAATAAAAACAAAAGCAAAATAAATAATAAAGACCTTTGCCATTAAATAAAATTATTCAAATTTTACACTAAAATGGAGGTAAAGGACGAGAAAAGCGAAATTCCTTTTTGTCGTTTGTGCCTGTCGACATCGGTGGTTTATTATTCGCTGTTGAAACAAAGTGGAAAGGAAATGTTGCATTCCCTTACAGGAATTCAGGTATGTAATCAATTTGCCCTTTAATTATATTTCCATTTACTTGTCCCTTTTCCATAATGTAATAATTTCCTTATTTGATAAGGGCGGTTACCACATATAGTCTGGGAGTTAACGACATATTTCGTTGTACCATTTCCGCAAGCTTCATTCTTTTTGTATGTGTTATGCGTGTAGTATATGATATTAATATGAACGTCTGCCGGCGCACCCTCACGACAGGGGGTTACAGGAAGGTTACAATTACAGCAAAAAATTTACAAAAAAAACTTATAGCCGCACAAGCGAAACTTATTGTACGTATTGGTGGAAACATAAAAAGCTTAGAAAATATCGTCTGCCACCTAAATGTCACGACAAAAGTCGTCTGCCATCCACAAGAATGAGCGCAAAAAAAAATATAAAAAAAATTTATACCTGCAAGGCTGAAATTAATTGAAATACTTCTTTTCACATTAATAAACACAAAAATAATAATCTGCCACGAATAAGATACAACGAAGATCGTCTGCCAAGCCTATGAAGTTAGGTTTGGCATATGGGGGATCATAGAATTTTTGTAAAAAAAACTAATTGCGCAATATTTATGAAGTTGTTTTTTGGCAGTACTTCAGTGCAGGGTCAGGCAATTGTCAGTAGCGTCAGTGCAGGGTCTCACAGAGTCTCCATAAATTGAGGTATAAAAGTCTTGTGGAAAGTGGACTTTTGTCTCTGTTACCAATGGAATGTGATGTTTGCAAAAACAAAAACAGGGATGTTTTCAAGTGCGATGGGTGTCGACTGGGTATGTGCAAGACCTGTGCAGGCTTAACTTCCTCCGAAGTTAAAGTTTTGCAGCTTAATAATAGGGTTATGATATTTCACTGCAGAAAGTGTCTATCCTTTGAGACATGCACCCTTCTACAAAACACCATTGAAGACAAAACAAGGATTATCATGAGTAAGGATGAGATTATCTCCTTATTGAAGAAGAAAATTGAGGACTTAGAAAGCACACAGAAGAATCCTAACCAAATGGGTATGTCTTACAGTAATGCATTGACCAGCTCGGTCAAGCAAAGTCAGAGTAAACTAACCAACTATAACTATAACTTACCCAGCCTGATAATTAAGCCCATGCAAAACCAAACTATAAAAAAAATAGAGTCTGATCTGAAACTGAATATTAAACCATCTGAATTGAAAATTGCAATTGGAGGTACTCGCAGCACTTCAAATGGTAATATAATTGTTAAGTGCCAAAATAAACAAGACCTAGAGGCATTAAAAAGAGAGGCTGACATGAAATTAAGTGGTTATGAAATACAAATTCCAGAACTGAAAAAGCCTAGAATAAAAATAACAGGATATGATGGTACCTTGGGCAAGGAAGACTTGGTCAAGTGCATCAGAGAACAAAATAAATTTATTAACATGAATGATGAACTCAAGACTACATTCGTAAAAAAGATAAGAGACCGGTTCACTGTGTTTGGAGAGTGCTCTCCTTCTCTATTTCATAAATTTATGGATGTTGGCAAGGTGTTTATTGGTTGGGAGAGGTATCCAATCTACGAAGACATTCGTGTGACTCGCTGCTTTAAATGTCAGGAACCTTATCATAAGTCTGACAAGTGCCCAAACCAACCATCCTGTGGAACGTGTTCAGGTCAACATGATTCTCGCGAATGTGAAAATGGTGCTCAAAAACAGTGTAAAAACTGCATACTAGCTAATCAAAAATACAACTTGAAATATAAGACTGACCATGGAGCTGCAGATCCAGATTGCCCTTCCCACCAATATCTAGTGACTATTTTAAGAGGTAAGATTGATTATGGTGCTAACAATGGCTAACATTCAAGAAGAAATTGAACTTTTGGAAAATCTGGACAATCTAGTTAATGATATTAGGGAGGAAACTATTACGAACGGTGATATGCTAGGCAATAAAATTCATTTAAGTAATAAAATTTTAACTGCATTTCATGTAAATATTCGAAGCCTAAAAAAAAACTTTAACGATCTGGTTGGTTTTTTTGAGGCATACAATCTTAAATACTGCGATATTATTGTTCTCACAGAATCTTGGCGGCTCGAAAGTGGTGACAATTTCTGTATTGATGGTTATTCTATGTACTATAATAATGCAGATTTCAATAAAAATGATGGCACAGTAGTCTACATAAGATCCAATCTAAAGCATTTGGTAACGCACACAAAACTTAGTCTGTCAAAAGTCACCCTTACTAATGTAGAATTAAGTATACGTGACGTCTCTGTTAGGATTTCATGCATTTATAGGCCGCCTTCTGCAAGCACACCACATTTTCTCTCGGACATTGAGGCTTATTTCTCAGCCCCATTCGAAAATCAGGTTGATGTCCTGATGGGGGATATAAATCTGAACCTACTTAATGAGAACAATAATGAAGTTGTGACTTATACCTCAATATTAAACCACTTTGGCTTTGTCTCCACCATTAATTCTCCTACAAGAGTTACAACTGATTCTTCAACTAACCTTGATCATATATTTTTAAGAAAGGGCGTAACCAACCTAAAGTACTCATCTTTCGTGATCCAGTCTGCTATTACAGACCACTATCCGACCATGTTCAACATAAATAGTCTAGCGGAATTCAGGCAAATGAGGGTGGTTCAAATGCCCATACTGTCACCAAAATAGATTATGTATTATTGAAAAGCTTAATCGAAGATCAAAATTTTGATAGCATCTATAACACACAAGACCCGGACTCTGCCTTGTTAATGTTAAATGAGATAATTTCTGATGCCCTAAATCAAGCAAAAATCCAAAAAACATTTTCAGAAAAAAAAATCAAAAAAGTTAAACCTTGGATCACAAATGGGATAATCACTAGCATAAAAAATAGGGATAAAATGAAAAAAAGACTTCTACGGCATAACACTCTGGCGAATAAAACAGCCTTCACACAGTATCGCAATAATTTACATAACTTAATTCAAAAGTGTAAATGTGATTTCTACAAAGCAAAAATTTTGAATAGTGGTACTGATATCAGAAAAATTTATAAAGTTATAAATGAAGCAACGGATTCAAACCCTACTACTCACAACATGAATCTAAAAATAACGCAAAATAATGTTCAGTTTGATAACAGCTTTGACATGGCTAACTTCTGCAATAAATATTTTGTTGATATTGGATACAATATGTATAAAAAAATAAAGTCGCCTCCTAGCCCCCTTCAGATAGAATCAACAGCACCATTCTCTTTGTTTCTGAGCCCAACTAATAAGTTCGAAATAATAAAACAAATAGCCTCACTTAAAAATAATTGCGCTCCTGGTGCTGATGGTATTACCTCTATAATTGTCAAACACCTTCACTTGTATATTGCTTCTCCTCTCGCACACATCATGAATCTAATTTTTCGAACGGCTAAAGTGCCTAAAGCTTTTAAAGAGGCACTTGTTATACCTATTCACAAGTCTGGAGACAAAACTGATATTGGCAACTATCGTCCCATTAGCATCATTAATTCCTTCTCTAAGATTTTTGAAAAATGCCTAAAAGATCGTTTGTTGAAATTTTTTGACCATAATAAGATCTTATCTGAGAGAGAGTTTGGCTTTTTGAAGGGACTTAGTACAACAGATGCAGTTTGTGAGTTGTGTAGGCAGGTTACTAGTAGTCTGGACAATGGAAAAAAGTGTATCGCCGTCTTCCTGGATTTGGCGAAGGCATTTGATACAGTGCCCCATGATTTGCTTCTTTTGGTGTTAGAATCTTATGGAGTTCGGGGCATTGTGCTGGATGTCTTTGCTAACTACTTGAGCGACAGAACACAGTCTGTTAGAGTTGGAGATACAATAAGCGACCCTCTTAGTGTTAAGATCGGAATTCCACAAGGTACTGTACTGGGGCCAATTCTTTTTGTGGCATACATCAATTCACTAACTAATATATCAACTCGAAATGGATCAGTAATATCATATGCTGACGACACTGCTGTTGTTTTTTCTGGAGAAACATGGGACTCAGTCAGAGACTTGGCTATTGATGGTATAAGTATAATAAAGCACTGGTTGGACTCTTTTAAATTATCACTAAATGCCTCAAAAACTAACTACATTGCATTTTCACTAACATCTGCAAACCGACCAGAGTTTGACCGTTTGTACATTGACAATCTTGGCAGTCATATAGCTCAAGTTGATAGCACAAAATATTTGGGAATTATAATTGACCAACATCTGAAATGGGATAGACATGTACTTCGATTAACAAAAAATATTAGAAATTTAATATATAAATTTTATTCAATTAGAGAAATTTTAAACAAACAGCTTTTAATAATGGTATATAAGGGAATTGTTGAATCATTACTCAGATATGGTGTGGTTGTATGGGGTGGACTCTACCAGAACTCATTAGCTGCCTTAAACATTGCACAAAATTATATATTGAAAGTAATCTTTAGAAAGAACAAACGTTTTTCTACTGCCCTACTCTACTCAAAAGAGGTATTTGATGTGCGTTCCCTGTATTGCCTGTCTACTTGCATATATGTCCACAAATCTGATAAATTGAAAAATTTTATTAGCCATCAATATCAAACTAGAATTAATGTGAACAAATATCTAGAAACACCAATTGTCTTCACAACTAAGAAATTGAGATCAGTATTATATCTTGCACCCAAACTGTATAATCTGTTACCACCTCACATTAAGCAATTAGATCTGAAGCGATTTTGTGTAGCTTGCAGAGATTTCATCTATGTAAATTTAGATACTTTTAAGAACATTTTCAACTAGTGGGTTCTTTGATTGTGTTATCGGTGACTTAGATATTGGATAATTTATTGTGTGCATATATATGTATATATATATATATATAATATACAAGTATTATTGATATATTTTTTCCGCGTATTTTTGAGTGCCCCTTGGATACTTTTTCCTTAAGGAATAGATTTTATTTTATTGTTACTTTTTAAAACATATGCTACTTTGCACATACAGGTATTTAGTTA